TGCGAGAGCGATAAAGCAAAGGTTGTTATTCAGTTTTCTAAGGATATTAAAAGTTGAGTTTGAGTTGTATAACAGTGCATTTCTGAGGATATAACACACTAAGATTGTTATTATGAAATTTGAATCTGAAACAATAAAATCCGGGGGGGGTTGATACCTATCATTAATACCCTATTATTCTTCCATAGTCCGATTCCAAGCCCTTTTTTTGCGCCGGAGAATATAGGCCTAATTTTAAAATAATTCAAACTTGACCATAATTGACAGTCAACTGGTGACGATTCACTGTGAAGACAAACGAAACGTCGTTTATATCAGACTAAACAAACTTATGGAAGTTTGGATTCCAGCACAGGTTGTGTTTTGCGATTTTTTCCGCCAAAATAACAAGTGCGTTGTATCATTTTATGGTAGTTGTAGATGAATGTATTTCGCAGGAGAATATTCCAAAGTAAGCGTGTGACTGTTGACATTCGCTTCAGGTTACAAAAACAGTGTCTTATGATCTATACGAGTTGCGATTTTTCCTGACAAAACGACGTTTTTACGACCTAGTTTGCTTTATACAATTTATTATAGTCATGATATATATATTTTTGTGTGCGTTCCGATGTTATGTATACTCAGGTGAATATAATGTTTTTGATGTTACTCTGACTCTGAGTGTATATCCACACCGGTGTCACAGGAAATTTGGCTACCCCGGGCCATATTTCCTAGTAAATATCCCTCCCCCCTTCGGAAATTTGCCCCCCCCCCCCTAACAAATTATAGTTTACTTTATCTTTAGGCTCGGAAATCGTGAAGCTTCTACCATAGATTAGGGAATGAATAGATGGCTCACTCCTTTGATGTTTTTGACGCTGCCGGCACCCACGCATGTTATTGCCAGAGTAATATCGGCCTAGCAAGTAACTGTAGTAAAATGTATTGTGAAATTGACATCGGTGCTACTAAATCCTGTATTTTTATAATTCTGATTTATTTTCCCATTAAGCCCCGAAAGCGTAAAAATACAGGATTTAGTAGCACGGATGTCAATTTCACAATACATTTTAGTATAGCTCTTGCTAGGCCGCCATTACTCTGGCAATTAGAACATACGTGGGTGCCGGCAGCGTCAAAAACATCAAAGGAGTGAGCCATCTATTCATTTCCTAATCTATGCTTCTACTAAAACCAAATTTCTGGAAATTTTTCTCAGCATTTATAGTTAGTTTGCGTAATTTTTTTTGTAGCGCTTCGCATTGTGGTTAGTGGTATCACTGATAAAGATAGCGGCCTCGAATGAAAATATTGAATGTTTTCGCGAATATGTACCTGACCCTAGCTTTTTTAAAAGTTCTTGCACGGGTCAGGACAAAAAATAAGCCATCTTGAATATCAGTGATGCCACTATAACCACAATGCAAAGCGCTACGAAAACGTAATAAGGGGTATCGTCAATTAGCGTAGTACTTTTCGCATTTGGTTTTGACCAGTTTTGTAGAAGACAACGTTAATAAATAATGGCTGTATCATTAAGTTATAGAAACGAAACGATTTTTATAATACTTGAAATGATACGATTTTGATACGGAATGTTTTGTTAGTCATTCAAACCTTTGTGCCTAGATAGTATTACTGAATATTATATTGTTGAAGAACTTTGAATTTAAAGGTTTTATGAAATCTGTGATGCCAACAATTCAAGAAAAGCTAATAACTTTTAAACCAGATACCAGAATATACTTGTATCAAGAAACCCATGCAATGAAATATTAATGAATTACTGGATTGTTTAGACATGCATTAACAATACCTCTTACAATATATATGACCTTATATTTTTGTAGAATGAAATTTTGAAAAGCAATAAATTGACATCATTAGTTGCTGTATAAGGTTATTTTTAAAACAAAACATTTAATAATTAAAGTGTGACTCAATAATATTGTTGGCTCAATAATATAATGAATGTTTGTTATGAATGTGAACGCAGTGCGTACCTATTTTTCTGACTTCACATGAGTTAAAAATTAAAATATAGTTTTTTCAAATGCTCAATAGTCTAAAGTCTCTAAAGATGGATGTCCTTGATGATTACGTTTAGCGTATTCCGTGAAAAGAGCCTGAGCAATTCCACATTTTGTACACGACAATTGACTCCGTTTCAGATTCAAATCTGAATGTGAATCTGAAAAAGAATCTGAAACTGTAGAGCGGATCGTGCTTTAATTGTCACTTTTAACGCAAGTGAGGCCTCGCCAACAAGATTTTGAACAACGAACAGTACCGATAGCAGTTAAAGTTTACTATTCTACAAATTTGACTTCCTTTTCTTAATAATAGTGGTAAATGACCCGTAAATGTTTCTCCAGTCCGACGCGTATTTATTAAGGAAAATTTAACCATGAATATCATCCTAATTCACTCACTATGTATTATACCCTTCGTCTGCTACATTTATAGAATGTCGCTTTTTCAATTCAATATAATTCAAAGCTTACCTTCCCGTACTGACAGCGCGTAATTACAACTACGTCTTCCAAACCAGTATCCAGTGAACGTAAATATCATTAAAACAACAAATTTAAACCACTTGGGCCGACGCATTGTGTCGGATATTGACGATATTATTGAAAGTATTGCCATTTATATTTTGCCTGTTTACAAATGAAATATGAAACCTTATGACACTACATGATTGTGCAGTGACGCGTACGCACATATGGTTACATATTTCGCGGCCGTTCCTAGTCACAAGCGGCCCAATCTCTGAATGGTCTATATATTTGAATATTTATACGGAATATTTATACGTTATAATATAAGGCATTTGTTGTGTTTCTGAGTCAAGTTGATGATGCGATTGCTTTACGTTTTCGTCGCGTACTTGAATGGTCGTCGACAGATAGATTTAGATCGAGGACGTGCGTGAAGACGACGTGGGGTGACGTCATTTGGCGCGAAAAATAGTGTTGTCTTGCTAGCGACGTCGTCACAGCGATTTTCAGGACGTCAAAAACAATTTTTCACGTCGTGTCGACCAAGACGTCAGTTTTTTTTTGCTTATTTTTCCCTCGAAAATGGTACGTACACAATAAAATTCGTATAAATAATTTTTATTAGTCATCATTTTTGTTATTTTAAAATAGTATGCGTATTTTATTTATGCGCATAATTTTAAAACTTGCAAGTTGTGCTAAATTTGTTTCCGGTTTCGTCAAGACAGTCATAATTTGGTCGAAACGAAATACCATGACAAACTACAGAATGATTCAGCTGTTTGCTAGTCTCGAGCAAGATGTTTTTATCTATTAAGTTCTTATATATTTTACTTCTATACGGTCTTATAGCTGTTAAATTCACACAGTTTTGATTTATTTTTATGTATTTTTTACAGTGTCGCTTGTATTATATTAAAGTTTATATGGAGGCTATCCAAGGAGATCCCCAGAAGAAGAAAAATAGGTACGCAACGCGTACATGTGGCTAGCCTGGTAAACTTTAACTCCCCAAACCCTCCTCCAAACCCAGAGAGCCTGCCATGCTGGTTAACTTTAATAGTAATAAGAAGACACGCAGGCTAACTTTAATAATAATAAGAGGAGATATTATTGTACAATGCATATGCAATCTCCGTGGTGATTGGCTAAGAATCTACAAAAAATTCTCAATGTCTTGCTGCCTCC